GTCCTCCCTCTTCCCCTTCTTGAAGATGGGGACCACATTTGCTACCTTCCAATCATCTGGCACCTGGCCCAAGCACCACGATCGCTCATAGAGCCGTGCCAGGGGCCCTGCAATAACCCCAGCTAGCTCCCTCAACACCCTGGGGTGGAGAGCATCTGGACCCGCTGACTTGAACGCGTCCAGCCCCTCCAGAAGCTCTCTAACCCAGTCCTCCCCAACCTGAGGTCTGAAGGCGATCCCCTCAAGTCCGGCTTCTGTCACAGCAGGGAAGTCCCGGTCCCTGCACAAGAAAATGGAGGTGAAGAATTGGTTAAAGAATATGGTAGAGAACTTGTGAATTTAGTGTTTGACAGAACATACAAATACTTCAGGTATCTCTTTAGAAAATGGAAGATTGTTTTCTAGGAAACTGAACTAGTATAAATTAATAGAGTGTCCCCATGTTATGCTCAGACTGAGGGGTTTCCATATATGGTTATTATAGAGAACTCTCGCTTTTCACTGTTGGTTAAATAAAAAAAAGTCTTCCATGGCACTACTGCTTCCCGTCCTCTGTTCTCAGGTTGACTTTGTTTTTGTTTTGTTTTTCTTTATTGCGTCAGTATCTTTATTCTGCACTGTTTTTCCATCATTGGAAAGTGGTAATTTTATGGGGGGAAATGTTTCAGGTTTCTCAAAATTCTTTGTTGCTTAGGCTGAGAATGGCACTTATACACCATTACATTTTTCTTTATTTTTTACGTTACTTGTCAGTTATACTGGTCAGGTGGTCTTCACTGCAGTGAAACTAACTTCCATGTTGTAAAATGAGTCCTGTAATTGGAAGTGTTTATTAAAACTGGTTTTGAAGTTCCTTCCCCAAATAAAACTTAGTAAAATACAAAAACATATTTTCTGAGAAACCAGCAGCCACTACAAAACTTGAGATTACTGTGTACAGAGATGTTGTGCTTCTGCATTTAAGTGATCACAACAGTCAAACAATTACTTTGAGTGGAGTCTAAGAACACACAATTAATTGAAAAGTATTTTTACAAGGGTTCATATGTACAGACACCAGGTTTCAGGTACAGTAATCAGTAGACAATGAATATCATAACATGGAAGACAGTTGGTTTTCAGATATGGTTGGAAGTCATAAATTAAGTGAATAGTTGATATTTTTGCAAAATCACTTAGTTAAAGCTTTTACCTTTTGTGTTTGCTTTTTCTTTTTAACCATGCAAGTCCCCAGAGGCTGTGCGTGTGAAGCTGTTTGAGAGCAGTGAGGATGAGCAAAATGATGCAGAGGAAGACAATGATAGATTCAAAATTAAACCCCAGTTTGAAGGCAAATCTGGTGAGAAGGTTAGTGAATCTGTTTAAAATCTTAAATCCTCAAAACTAAGCACATCAAAATTATTTTTTCAATACAATATTGTTAGCATACTTATTGCAGAAGACCTTTTAAATAGAGAAAATAATATATGTTTCATAGACTTCATAGTCATTAGGGCTGGAAGTTCTCTCCTGAGAATTTAGTCAATTAAAAGATGATTTTTGGAACAAAACTTGCAACAGTGAAAGCTTATTGGCTTTAAAGAGCAATGATTCAAGTTTTATAAAATGTCATTACATGTCTTAAGATACTGTTCTATCTGCCTTAAAATCTTTTTAATTCCTTTGGATGTAGCTCTTGCATTTACAGTCACGCTTTGGCACAGATGAGCGATTTCGTATGGATGCTCAGTTCCTTGAAACTGACAGTGAAGAGGAAGGTAAATATTTTTCTTCTTATTTTCTGATGATTGCTCTTACAAAATGTAGTGCAATAAAAAACCTGTATGAAAAGCTCTTTGCTGAGGGGACTTCCAGCCATGGGGGCCCATGCAGCCAGGACCGAGAGTCCTGCATGTGATGGGATTCTTAGTCCTGGCTGTGCCACACCACATGATTATGGGGACTCTTTGTGGTGCATATGTGGTTTCACAAACCCCCTGAGCCTTGGGGATCACAACAGCCATGATCCCCCAAGCCCAGGATTTCATACTGGGCATGGTGCACCCCTGCAGCTGAGAGTTCTGTCAGGTGACGGGGCTCCCAGCTGCAGGGGAGACTGCTACACATGCAAATTAAAGGTCAATAGTGCCAGCTATAAAGTTGTTACCAGCTGTAAAGCTAGTACGTGTTTCTGAGGTCTAACGTTATAGCTGGTTGGAGCTTTTTATCATGTGATAAGCACTTTGCACATGTAGCTGGTCTTAAGGTAATTATGCAATTAACCAGTTAATTGCGTGATACCTGTAACATGTAGAAGGGGCCAAAAAGAAATAATGGGTGTAGGCTTTTTGTAAAGCTTAAAATGGCTTCTCTTTTTCCCACACTGGATTTTTTTCCCTAGGAGAGGCACAAAAAATGAATATAGATGAAGAAGAAGAACTTGTTGAAGAGAAAAAGAAAAATCTGCAGATACTGAGAAGTCTCCTGCATGTCAACCTACATCCTAAACCAAGCAAAATGGCAACAAATGCTAAGAAATTTAAGTATGCCTCATGCTTTAGCAGGAAAAACTGAACCAAGAGCCAGGCTTACTTGTCTTTGTTTTCTTCTTTGTTGCATTACTTAAATTCAGGTTTTCTGTCCTAGTGTGACATTGAATTGTGTCATTCGTGATTTAATGAGAAGAAAGGTGACAGAACAGAGAGAAAATCAAGGCTCACCTTGCATTCTGGTGATGATATTACTTGTATCTTATTATCCATAAATTCTCATAGTTTAATAAGATACAGCCTGCAGATTAATTGTTCCCTAATGAGTTTCTTTCCAGAGTATGCTTCCTTATTTTAACCTTTTTATTTTCCCTCCGAAGTGAAGGAGAAAAACTCAAAGTAACTAATTGGAGGTAGCTTTGGTACTGAGTCAGGCAACTAGACTTTCATGTCTGGAGATTGGAAGGGTACTTTTCTGGATCACATGAAAACGAATTTTTGTTCCCTAAAATGGAGATGTTTATCAGAAGCATAAAGTTTAAAGTGGTTGCTTTAATGGGGACCAGATATATTTCTACAGTGAAGCTTTATTTCAGACATACCACTCACGTGTGCAAACTGACCTTTCTACAGATGGAAAGCTTCTTTAGGGCCCCTCTACACATTAAAGGTAAAGGTGCAATGGAATCTAAGGTGCAATCCACAATCCACACATGCTTGGCAGGAGGCAGGATTGTGGGGCCATGCATTAAATCCCATCACAGCTTATTGCTGGTGCAGGGAGAGCCTGATTCCCAGGCTCTCCCTGCACCAGCAAAAAGGAAGGACTGCAAGCCTCCTCAGTTAAGGGATTCCCAGCTACAGGGATACCCCATGCACCCCTGAGACTGGGATCCCGCTTTTCAATATCCACAGTTGCCAGGACCCCGAATCAACAGCTGCTGGAGCTAGGAGTCGCATCAGCTGACGGGGCTCCCAGCCACAGGGGCAACCCTGCTATACATACACATGTTGAAGCTTGATAGCAACCAATTATAAAGTTAGTACACATTTTCAAGATCTTACTTTATAGCTGGCTGGAGCTTTTCACCATGTGATAAATACTTTGCATATGTAGCTAGTCTCAAGATAATTGCACAATTAACCAATTAATTCCTTAATACCTGTAATGTGTAGAAGGGGCTTTAGTGTAATAGGGAGTAAACTATATCCCCACTCCTCATGTTTAATGCTGCCTGTCAGATGATGATATGCTCGTTCAAGAGCTGTACTAATTTAGTCTGTGGATGGCACTCTTTGTAAGCACAGTGAAAATTCAGGTAGTACCTTTGGTAATACAAGGTTGGTTATTATGAGTAGTGTGAAGAGGTAGAAAGCAACTGTATATTTTTAATAATCACATTTGTTAGTGATCTGTTCTGTTCATTACTCACTGATCAGTATTGTGTCCCAATGCTGGTCTTGTAACCATGTGAATCTTTTTTCACCAGGCAAAATGGAAGCCATTCCTGCAGCCCCTGAAGTCAAACCTACCTGTTTTGTCAAATTGACTATTCTATAATAACAACATTAACTCCTTTTTAAATCAAAAAAGAATCCTGTGTTGGGAAAACAATATATGGTTATGTATTTCTCTTAACCAGGATTGGGTTTTGCCTTGAGACTGCCTTTCTCTAAATTAAAGTTTGAACTGCATTAATTACTAATGTAAATAATATTCAATTTTTAAAGGCGAAAAAATGTTCCATCTTGGATACTTAAGAAGATAAATTAGAACTTTTGGCTACACCATCCCTGTCCATACCCAGACACTAAGTTTAACCCCTAATGTATGTGTGCATTAACTCTTTATTGTTGCATAAGCAACAACTTGAGAGGGTGTTTTATCTTGAATTATTTTAATACGTAAATTTAGTAAATATTTCTTGTCCAGACTTCTTATTCTGCTCTCAGAATGCTAATTGGACTTTTTCTATCTAAAAGCAAATATGAGTCTGGCTATGAATTTGGAGTAAGCCAAGCTGAAACATTTAATAATACATATATCAACTACATTACACTTAAATTTATACATATATCCTCACAGGATAATATAATAATTTGTGCATTATTTTGTGATGTCCTCACTATTTTTTTTACTTATACAGAGATATTAATACCCTGCGCTATGACCCAACAAGGCAGGATCATGCAGTTTTTGAAAGAACTCTAGGAACTTCAGAAAAAGAAAGGTAGGTAAAGGCACAATGGGATCTAACATGCAATCCACACAGTCACATGTCAATGCCAGACATGAATGACAGGAGGCGCAATTGTGGGATCATGCATGAGACCACATCATGCCTTATTGCCAGTGCAGGGGGAGCCCAGGATCACACTCCTGAGATCCCCCTTCACTGGCTCCCGTGACTCCGAACCCAGTAGCTGTTGGCACTCGCAGCAGTGGCAGCGTTTTCCTCTGTTCCCCCTGCCCACAAGCCCCACACCTGACGAGGCTCACAGTAGAGGCAGCGTTCTCCCCACCGCAAGCCCTGCACCTGACAAGGCACACAGTTGGGGCAGTGCCAGGACTCAGCTTGTCAGCTTCAGGGCTGACTAAGGGTAGTGCGCCCCTGTGTCTGCGAGTCCCTCAGCTGGGGACAAGCTATAAAGTTAATACACATTTTTTGTGAAATAACTTGTTTTATCATGCCATTAATTTGTTGAACATGTAGCTGAGTCACATACTAAGGCATGATTAACTGCTTAATCGCACTTTAAACATAACTTGTAGAGTGTAACCACAAAATCCGGGGTTGTCTGTGAAATCAACTTAAGAAAATCTTAATTAAAAACCAGTGCTCCTCGCAGCCCAGCCTGGGGGTGGGAGGTTGGGGATTGCCAACTGGTAGGATGGCACAAAGGGCCGCATACAAGTTGGTGGCCACCCCCTTGTCCTTCTTCCCCCCACCGGGGCCTCTTTGCCCATCAGCACCAAGGATCATGGCTGGTGGAGAACATCCAGGAAACATCCACAAAATTGTCTCTTTATGCCCCAACCACCCTGTAAAAATTGTTTAGTCTCACCATGATTTAAGTAGGTCCCTACCTATTCAGTGTTCTTAGGCAGTTCCCATGCTGCTTGCAAGTTCTTGACTTCCAGAGGAGCCCCTTTCAACTTCTATCTAACTAGCTTCCTTGTTTTGGTGTAATCTCCCTTTTTAATGTCAAAGGCTACTGTGGTAGATTTCTTTTTTCTCATTTCCCCTTATATATGGATGTCAAACCCAATTGTACTGTGGCCACTATTGCAGAATGGCTCTTTAACACTTGCCCTTTGCACAGAATCCTGTGCAGTGTTTAGGACTAAGTCAAGAATAACCTTTCTCCTCTCTTAGGTTCCAGGACTAACTGCTTCAGGAAGCAGTATTTTATACAGCAAGAAATCTAGTCTCTTCATCCTTCCTAGCCTGATGTTAGATTAACCCAGTCTATTTGTGGATAATTGAAGCCACCCATTATTAGTGTGTTTTCTGCTGTTGTGTAGCCTCTCTTATCTCCCTGAGAAATTCTAGCTTGCTGCTGCCTTCCTGGTTTTGGGGGTCCATATTCTATCACCAGACATACTTTACTTCTATTGAAACCTGGGATTTCTATCCACAGAGGTTCTATGGTACCCGTCCTATCACTTAATTGCATGGGAGGGAGTAGGTGAAGATTAGCCCCAACTGATACTACAGGCATAGTATACTTTAAAGTTTCAATTGTTTCTTTACTAAAAGCTGGAATTACTGGGAAAATAAGAATACTAGAAAACAAATGACTTGCTAAAACATTCAGGTAATTCACTTAATAGGAGTTCTGTTATCAGTAACATAATATAAATAATCTTTCAAGGTTGTATCTTTAATCTGATGAGGTATGATTAAGCAAAAAAAAAACATGTCTTTCAAATGTGTGTATTCTAATTGTCCTTTAAAATGAAACTCCAGTAAAGCTAAAAGAAAGAAGAAAAGGGAAGAGACTGAGAAATTGCCTGAAGTTTCCAAAGAAATATATTACGATGTTGCTGTGGATTTAAAAAAAATGTTTGGATCTACAAAACGTACAGCTGAAAAAAATGAAATAACACCCTGGGACAAAGAGGATGATGTGGAAGAATCAACTCTATTTGACCAGCAGATGTTAAGTAACGCAGAAGAAGAATCTGGTGGCTTTACATTTTCCTTTTTTGGTGTGGATATGGACAAGTCTGCAGTGCAAGAAGGTGTGGCAAGAATGTGTGAGAATCGGGTTTTTTTGGGCAGTTATTTAAATGAACCATCTGTATAGTTGGGTGAGGTGTTAGTCAAGCTTTTGGGCACAAAGTACAAATGAAAGAAAATATGCAGGTTCTGGTGCTGTTAGTAGTTAGCTTTTACTGGAAATTATGTTTTTAATAATTTAGAATTATATTGAATAAAATGGCACTCTAGATGGAAAATCATTTTCATGCTGTCAAACAAAAAATAAACTACTGCTTAGATATCAGTAAAGTTTAAAGCAATAAATGTTGATTTTGCTATGTTGATCTTTGCAGGCATTTGCTACAATCTATATTTAAATCACTGTTTTCTACATAAAACTGATCGTTTCTCCCATTGGCTTTTGATGGTGTTTTTGAATTATCAAATGGGGAAATGAGTTGGTTTCTTGTCCTGTTCCTCCAGTAAGGGTTAGGAACACTGCATAAGCACAGACCTTCTCTAGAATATGGGAGGGCTTCAAATGCTTCCTGGTACTCTGGCCAAACTTTCTCTTAGTAAGAGAAACTCTGATCAGATGCAGGTACTCTCCCTAAACCATGTTGATACTAGCTATGAATTTTCTGAATGGAAATATAAAGCATAGGAAGATGGGTATATGTATACTTTGACAGGTACACCACAAAACAATTCTTGGGGAGCATTGCTAAGCTGCTTGACACCACAGTGTTGCTTTGAAATCAAATTAAATTCTTTATCTAATAAGTTTCAACTGGCACATCAGGAAAATAACTACTTTTTTGGTGGTGCTTATTACAGAGCCCTATGCAATTGAAACAATAAGACCTGCAAGAGTTGTATGGCAAGAGGACCCACGTTTCCGGGACAGCAGCTCTGAAGATGAGACAGAAGCATCAGAAAATGAAAACGACAAAGAAATGTAAATCTGAATTATACTTTGTAGTCATTAAATAGTACTTAACATTAATGGAATTTTGATAGTGGTAGTCTAGACTAGGATAGAGCTTTTTTATTTACATAGCTTTAAACTACTAATGCCTCCTTCAAAAAAAATATTTTTTTTATTGCTCACCTGACCATGAATTGAAATGCACACCTGACTATGCATTAAAAAGGCAGGATTTTTAACATAGTGCCTGGTATGTTTGATCAAAGGCTGGAAGTGAAACCTGGCTTTCTGCCTTCTAAATGTTTTCTGCTATGTAACTATTGCTGAAAACCTGACTTGCACACCTAAACACAGGTGGTTAGATAGGTTTGTCTGAAGTCAGGCAGAAGGTACGGCAGAGTGGCACCTCAGATACCAGTGGCTTCCAAAGAAGCATCAGCTTCCATAGGCTACAGCCTTTTTTGATGTCAGTTATGGAATGTCTGGGGAGGTTAGTGTTCTGCCATGTATTTCTATGTATACATATTTTTCTATGTGTTTCTAGAACTGAGGTCAAAACAGTGTTTGTTCATTCTTTTATGTGGCCCTTACCCCATTTGTCCAGTGTAGACAGCACAAGGACATTGTAAAGCTGAGAGAGTGTAATTCCTTCAGCATGGATTCACCAAGGGTAGGTCATGCCTGACCAACATAATTGCCTTCTATGATGAAATGACTGGCTCTGTGGACACAGGGAGACCAGTGGATGTGGTATACCTTTATTTTAGAAAGGCTTTTGATACGATCTCCCACAATATTCTGACAGGCAAGCTAAGGAACTATAGGCTAGATGAATGGGCTGTAAGGTGGATAGAAAACTGGCTGGAGCATCGGGCTCAGAGGGTAGTAATCAATGGCTTGATGTCTAGTTGGTAGCTGGTATCAAGTGGAGTGTCCTAAGGGTTTTCTTCAATGTCTTCATCAACACCCTGAAAGATAACATAGAGTGCACCCTCAGCAAGTTTGCAGATGACACCAAGCTGGGGGTGGTAGTAGATACGCTGGAGGGTAGTGCTAGGATTCAGAGTGACCTAGACAAATTGGATGATTGGGCCAAAAGGAATCTCATGAGGTTCAACAAGGACAAGTGCAGAGTCCTGCACTTAGAGGACGAAACAATCCCATGCACCAGTACAGGCTGGGCGCTGACTGGCTGGGCAGCACCTCTGCAGAAAAGGACCTGGAGTTTACAGAATAAGCTGAATATGAGCCAACAGTGTGCCCATCTTGCCAAGAAGGCTAATAGCATCCTGGGCTGCATTGGTAGGTGTATTGCCAGCAGGTCAAGGGAAGTGATTCTTTCCTTCTATTCAGCACTGGTGAGGCCACGTCTGGAGTACTGTGTTCAGGTTTGGGCCCCCCGACTACAGAAAGGATGTGGACCAATTGGAGAGAGTTCAGCAGAGGGCAGCAAAAATGGTTTGGGGGCTGGGGGACATGACTTCTGAGGAGAGGCTGAGGGAACTGGGCTTATTTAGTTTGGAGAAGAGAAGACTGAGAGGGAATTTAATAGCAGCCTGCAACAGCCTGAAGGGAGGTTTGAAAGAGGATGGAACTAGACTGTTCTCAATGGTGGCAGATGACAGAACAAGGAGCAACAGTCTAAAGTTGAAGCAAAGGAAGTTTAGGGTTAAATATTAAGAAGAATTTTCTCACTAGGAGGGTAGTAAAACACTGGAACAGGTTACCCAGAGAGGTGGTGGAATCTATCGTTCGAGGCTTTCAAGACCCAGCTAGACAAAACTTTGGCTGGGATGATCAAGACAAGGATGGTCTTGCTTTGAGCAGGAGGTTGGAGTAGATAACCACCAGAGGTCCCTTCCAGCCCTAATTTTTTTTATGATTTCTATGATACCATGTTGGTGGTTCTTATCACATTACCTAAGCTAGGTGTTAACATCTGGTGGGACACATAGGTTAACTCTCATAATCATGTTGATTGATCTAATCCATTTATTATCTCTTTTAGCAATGTCCCCTCCCCCTGTCCCTTTCCTTTCTTTGTAATTGTTTTTATTTTTGATAGTCTAGTCATAGACTCTGTCAAAGTAGATTGTTTCCTGCAAAAGCCTGTGAGCCAACTGGTCTGTAAGGTCCAACCTTAGCCCTTCCTTTTGTGTGCCTTAAAACTTACCACAGCTTTAACACTAAAAACTTCTGGCCACACATATATTTACATAATATGTATCTTGTCTAACAATCAATTTTATATGCTACTCGCTGGTAAGCTAGTCACCCTGAAGTTTTTATATTTTTGGCATTACTATTGCAAAATTGTTGTAATAAGTTAATTTATGTATATCAGGGCTGTCTAACTCATGTGGCCCTGTGGGGTGAACAGTATGAGGCTGGCCCCTGTGCCAGATCAGGCCCATTAACACAACTCTCCCCTCCCACATGCTGAATTCAGTGTCTGTTCAGGCTGGTTGGAAACAAGCTGCATGTGGCATCTGCTTCTGCCAGGTGAGAGAGAGATGGGGTCCCAAACTGGTCCCAGGCGGGTGCTACATGCAGTTTGGGTCCCAGAGTGGGCACATGTCCCAGGCCTTGCATGTAGGGCTAGCCAGCTGTGTGGTCTGTGGGTCAACTTGAGACCCAAGGCCAGCACTGGGGCCAGATGGTGGGCTGCATCTTTGACACCACTGATGTCAGAGTAAGGCAGATTTAAATGGCTCAAGCGTGGGTTTTTTGGTTGTATTTTAATTCAGTGTTTTGGCTGTTCTGCTGGCATAGTAGGAGTGAGTCTGTGACTAAAATTTCTGTCTCTTTTTTTCAGTGCTCGGTCTTCACCACAGAAGGCAACTAATAAGTTTTTCTTCTTTTCCAAAGATGATGATAGATTAAGAGGTAAAACTGAACCTATCTAAATGTTTCCTACAAGACATTGGTACTTAGTAATGACAAATATTAGCTCAACTATTCATGTCTTTCAATTCTAGCATTAATCAGGTCATGACAAAATTCAAAGTTTTTCCCGTATCAATAATATGAAACTCATTAACACTTCCCAACAGAAAATATGGAGAGTCATGAGGACAGAGGCTGCATGGTTCAGCTTCAGAGTCCTTGTTTATTCCCACTTAAACTGAGGGGTAAAAACCATATGTTAATGTGATTTCTCTATCACTCCTTTAATGGTAAAAAAGAAAAAAAAACAGTTCACATAGCTCTCTGGCTATTTTAGATGCTTTCAGACTTATCTTTGGGTTTTCAGTTATTCTCGCTCTTCTCTCGTCTCAATGGTAGTATTAGGCAATTGCTCACTACTCCTACAATAGCAAGGGATAATATAAGTATCTGAATTTGCAATTTTGTATTTGTAGTCTCTAGCCAATAATACAGTCGTATTCTGACTTCCCCAAAAATAATAAGTCAGATAATATTAGTAACTGAAACTTATAGTGATGAAAACCATTGAAGTTGTTTAACATGGATCACCATTATTCTGATGTATCTGTGTAGAGGGTCCGAAGCTGTTCTTCAGATTATCAGATCTCCATGAAAACAAAGATAACTGGGAAAACAGGCGTAGGTTATTACTTCAGGTAAGTAAATAAAGCTATTATATACCAACAGGTGTAGAACATAGCATGGTGGGAAGAGGGGGGTTCCCTGTTTTGTTAATTTTAATAAAAAAATAAATAATTTGAGCCTTTAAAATGACCTAATATAATCCCAAGGACAAGGACCCATGTGAATTTATTAAAATGTATATTGTAGGTTTGTCTCTAACTTTTTGTTGCCCAGTTACTTAAAGTATGGATAGTTCTGTGGAAGCATAAATTACCTAACTTCTTTTTAACTATAAAAATAAAGCTGATTTAAAAGATCAGCTTTTGGGTTTATAAACTCTTAATAATGCTGTTTTTAAAACTCTTAATATTTCTAGGAATGCCGGAAGAAACATAAAGATGCAAGAAGGAAAGTTAAATCAAAACAATAAATGCATTTTTAAACCCTGACAGCCATCTTTTTTTTTCTTCATGAAACTATAAAATTACAGAAAAATACGTGGCTGCAAAGTTCAATTATTTCAGAACTTTTTAAAAAAGAAAAATATTTCAGCTAAACTGAAAAAAACCTGTTGGAAAGTTTTCAAGTTACGAACAGATAAGTCTATATATATGACATTTTAACTGTGAAAATGAATATGTGTTGCTTTGTGGGGATAACTTAGTAATGTTGAGGGGTGGTTTTTCTTTGCCCCTTTTTTCTTTTTCTTCTTTGAATATGTCATTTAAATGTCATACTTTTCAGAGCCACCTCAGTGTGCAATGCAATATAGAAAGTTCTGAGTTACATTTAGGTTCAGGTGCTTCAAGGAGGTTGAACAAAGACAGCTTTGACATGAACTGAATGGGAAGTAGGAGACTTTCAGCACCTTATGAAACTTGTTCTGAGCGTAGGACAGGTCCTTCTTTGATATTCCTTTGCAAATATTCTAAATATTTTTATGTAACTTTCAAATATACAGTAAGTTTATAAAAATGTTTAAATTAAAATATTTATGGAATAACATATTTCTAATTCTTTGCATAAAACCTGCTTTTCCATTTATATAGGTATTACACATAAATAAACCTTTAGACAAATGTTACTAGTACAGTATATTTTCTGTTGAGTGGTGAAACTATGTACAAGGTAATGTTTCTGTTCACATAAAACATGCATTGTTAACTGCCTTAGCTAAAGCAGAGCACACATGATTTTGAGAAATGAATGGCTTTCTTATAGTACCATTTAATACAAGTAGAAGACTTTGTGACATATGTCAGTGCAATCTTTTGCACTTTGTGACATATGTCAGATGCATGATTTTGTTCTAATTCCTAGTTTCTTACTGAACTAAATGGTGTCAGTGATAGATTCTGGCTGGAAGTTTAGAGGCTAAGAAACAGTCTAAGTCTACCACACAACTCACAGACAGTGTGGAAGTAAGATTTCTGTTTTTTTCTCGCTAAAGAAATGCATATATACTACTGCCGAATTTAGGGACCTGACCTACAGGAGTGCAGAGTTTCCATAATGTCTCTTTCAGAGTTCTATCTTGCAATGTTGTTTATTTTATGATGTCATCGATATGAATGCTTCTTCCATGATAAAAACTATTTAAGGTAGCATACATAGGGTAAAATGTTTTGAGGTACCTTTCCTTTGTCATATAAACAGAGCTGTTGCAAGGATTGAATCACAGCTAACTCTTGTGCCAAAGTAAGTTTTTGGGGTTTGGATGCATATATGTTTGGCTGTGAGTGGGTTCCATGCCTGTTCCAGTTGAAAGCCAGGTACTTGACAGTCAGTAGTAAGCAAGCTTATGCCAGGACTGCACAGGGAGCTGGAAAACAACCCCAGTGCAGTCCCCAGCAGGCCAGCAGTCAGATGTTTGTCAGCTGGATCCAAGGACCACAAGTACTGACTTTTATTTTTGCAGGGGGAAGGAGGGGAATGGAGCTAAGATGATGGACATGTGGAAAGTTGTATGCATTTCATATGACATTCTGACAGGGACCACACCAGACTCCCAAACTGGCTCTAGTGCAGTTCCAGCCAGGCCAACAATCAGGTGATTGCCAGTTGGGCTCAGGGACCACACAGGTATGGAACAGTGTGGTCCCCACCAGACTAATTAATCAGTTAATTGTCAGGTAGGACCAGGGATAGCACAGGAGTCTCAAACCAACCATGGTGCAGTCCCTTTTGGGCTAACTATAAGCTGCTTTGTCAAAACCCTGCACCTGGCAACTCTTGCTGGGCTGTCAGCCATGGGTGGGATCAGAGGCTGCCAGCTGGGGGACCTGAAGGACTTCCTTTGCTGGGGACATTAAACCCCATATTCTGGGACCTAGGGTGCCCAGGACCCTAGGTTTGGGGAGAGGCCTCTTGGCCCTGGAGTGCTGGGACCCCAGGATTGGGCAGTGGTAGCCCAAAACCAGGACTCCTGTGTGCTATGATATGATAAATTTGTATGTGCAACCCAGCTGGACTGCAGATGCACTTTTTACAGCTCCTGGGTCCCCAAGGTCCTGTCACGCCGGGACCTTTAAAAATAGTTGGGCTGCACATGCAGTTTAAAGGTCCTGCTACACTGGTACCCCAGTATCAAGGAATCTCTCCCTGATCCCAAAGTCCTTGTGTACCAGGCTTGTCAGAAAACCATATGCGCAGCCCATGTGCACATGTAGTTTCTAAAGGTCTGTAGGAGGACACTAAGGTGCCTGCTAGTCTCAGAGCAGAGGCAGGAATCCAAGTACTGGTTGCTGTGACAACTGGTTAAGGAGGGAATTGGTCGCACCTGCATCTGGTCAGCTGACTGGAAGGGGCAGGACCAGGCTCCCATATAAATCCCAGGCCTGAGGCCAGGAGGGCAGTTCCCTGCTGGCAGCCAAGGGGGGAGGGAGCTCTGCCAGACCAAGCAGAGGGGAGAGGCCTGACTGCACAAGCAGCTCCTGATGCTGTTATGGGATGGAGTATTCCTTGGTAGGGACTGAATGATGTTTTAGCCAGGCAGCTTGGATTTTTGTTATAGCTCAGGGGTTTGTGTTTTGTTTTTTTTACTGGAGGTTTGGGTGAGGCTATTAGGGGTTGGAGGAGGCCTCATAGGGGACCCATGGCGGCGTGGGAACCCCAGCCTCAGAGCGAGGGGGCCAACGGAGCACCAGGAAGGCATGGAGCGAGACAGGGCTGTGGAAAGCCCAGGGAAGACAAGGGGAGGGCCAAATTACAACAAGGTCCAGATCAAAACACGTCAGTATCATCTGCGAGGCTTGGGCTGCGGTATAGGGGAGGAAAAGGAGCCGCAGATAGTGCCCTCTGGCACCGGGGCAAATAAATGGGCAGCCTCCCACTAATTAACATCCATTAATTAATTAAGATCATGGCATGGCAGGCGAGAGGGCAGGTGGTTGGCCCATAACAGGAGGGCGAGGTCACCGATAGACAGACTCCAGAAGAGACGCTCCTGTCACAAGGTCCCAGCACCCAGGGTCCCTAGGATCAAGGAGCCTTTCCCCAAGCCTGGGTCTGGTCCCCACAGAACCTTTGAAACCTACATTTGCAGCTGAGCTGTCTATATGGTTTTTTGATATCCCCAGTGAATGGGGACCCTGAGACCAGGTAGCAGTTCCTTGATCCCAGGGTACCATAATACCAGGACCTTGTAAAATCTGCATTTTCAACAGCTGCACATACGCTGTTGAAAGATCTGGGGCACAGTTAGTCTGAGATCAGGGGGACACTCCATGATGTGGGGTCACAGCACCCACCCCATCCGCCTCCCGAGAATGGGGGGAGGAGCAGGAGGTAGGCTGGAAGGCATGGGGTCTAGGAATCAGTTCTATCCCCTCAACCCAATTGGATAGGGAATGGCTGTGTCCTGAACTCTGGGGGATGCCCTGTGCCACAGCCCAGTACTCAGTTGAGTGTCAGGACATGTCATGGGTCATCCCCAACCTGCCATACGTTCAACTTAAGGCATGATATGGACAAGCCACAAAATGTTTCCACGTATAATGCGTAACATCTTTGTGGCTTGTTTGCTGTTTTATCATGCTGTAAATTGACTTGAACCTGTTGTTTGGTTACTGTTTTAAAGTGTGATTAACAGGGTAATCATATCTTAAGTATAATATCTGCCATGGGCCAATTTAACTAATGGTCTGAAAAGGGGCAAATGAAAGAGAACTTTGTCCAGTTAATTACTTCTCAAGGTAACAGAAAAAATCCACATCATAAAAAGCCTCGGAACACCATCGTTTACTTTTTAATAAAAAAATATTTACCTGCTTAAATTCTGTGCATTTTACTTAATTCTTGTAAGATTTCTTCAGCCCTGTAGTCAGTTCTGTTTGATCTCAAGAGCACTACTCTGAATTTTTTTGCGTGACTCCCTCCTCCCCCTCAAATAAATTATAAAAAATGGCTATTTTGAGTGTGCTGAATTACTTATTTACATATAATCATTAATTATAGGTATTTTTTTTCCAGAATCTCTATGCTATTTTATTCAGTTTCCAAGAAATTTTGTTACATGCAAAACTAGATGACAGTAGAGTTAACCTCTTTTTAGGGAAAATGAATGGACACGACGCTGCCCTATTTTATGTATAATGTGTTGTATGAAGCATCACACAGAGAGAAGACCTTCGGAAATAGGTGAGAAAATATTACACAAAGTAATTTTTAAGGGTTTTTTGTTCCACCAGATAGGCACCATTAGCTGCTGCTGTGTTTTCCCCTCTCCTTTTAACTACCAACAGTCAGTATGTTAGCCATTAGTATGTGTCAAAATGGATTTTGTCTACCTCCATCTGCATCAGTATTCGGTGATGGGATTATAATCCTACTCTGAAAAACTAACAAAAGTAAAGGATGATAAAAAGTTCTCCTTGTCTCTCTAATATATTGATGATTATACATAGGCTGAAGAAGCAGAACTGTTAAACATTAGTGAGCCTTTACTTTTCTTATCTGACTTCAAGTGCAGTTTGGGGAAAGGGAGGAGGGAGAATATATTGTATATCAGATCAGAAAATAATAAATAATAAGATACAGTTTACAATAAAAACAGCATATTCATCTTAACAGCAATGTTAATTTTAATGCACATAGATAAAATTTTCCGGTTGTCTTATCTGTACAGAGTTGAAACCAGTCTAAGCATGGACTTTTTAAGGAAACAAGCAGGTCAAAACATAAAGTACCTTAGTGCATGTATACAAACGCCAGGAGTATAAGGAACAAGCAGAAGGAGCTGGAAATCAGCCTGTAAAGAAAAGTATGATCTAATTGATACTGCAGAGACCTGATGAGACAACTACCTTGACTGGAATATCAACGTTGAGAGATACACAGTGAAACCTAAGACAGTTGCTTATGACCAGGGAAAAATCCCAGTTTATGTGGTTTTCTGTCTTCTGTGGAGCTTCCCCATTCTGCCTACTTGCTCAGCCTGCTTCATGCTCTCTGCAGTCATAGGCCTGAATTTTCTTTCTATTTCTGTGTTAGTGTCTGTCTTATTCATAGATTCATAGACACTAGGGCTGGAAGGGACCTTGGAAGATCATAGAGTCCAGCCGCCTGCCCCAGGGGCAGGAAGTCAGCAAGGATCATAGGATCCCACCAAGATAAACATCCAAATGTCTCTTGAAGGCGTTCAAAGTAGGCGCTTGAACCATCTCCAGCGGCAGTCTGTTCCAAACCTTGGGGGCTCAGTCAGTAAAGAAGTTCTTCCTTATGTCCAACCTGAAATGGTCGTGGAGGAGTTTGTGACCGTTGGACTTTGTCATCCCTTGGGGTGCTCTGGTGAACAGACATTCCCCCAGATCCTGGTGAGCACCCCTGATAAACTTATAGGTGGCCACCAGATCACCCCTGAGCCTGCGCTTTTGCAAGCTGAATAGCCCCATGGCTCTCAGCCTGTCGTCGTAAGGTCTGTTTTCCTGACCTCTGATCATGCATGTGGCTCTCCTCTGCATTCTCTCAAGCTTCTCCACATCCTTTTTGAATTGTGGAGCCCAAAACTGGACACAGTACTCCAGCTGCGGCCTCACCAAGCCGAGTACAATGGGAGTATGACATCCTGAGACTTACTTGAGAAACATCTATAGA